AAACTCTGCCCAGGCTTTCCAGCTAAGGTCTGACTGAATGAAGAAAATGAATAGTGAGGGTGAGAGAATTACCTTCAGCAGCAAAAGGAGAATGTAAAGGAATCCCCCAGCCATGAACAGCCATGGATGACTGTCCTCAAAGGCCACTCAGTGCTTATCAGCTCTGTGGGCTGATGGATAATATCTGAAGGGAGAGGTGATTTTATCTCCACAGCTTTGGATATGATACAAATATCATGAGACAAATTGCCCTCATGGCGTATGAAACATGAGCAGAAATGAAAAGCACCCAAAATCCTGTACAAACTCCTCTGTATGTCTATCAGGAAGATGTTTTGAACACGCAGGCAGGTGATACAATGCAGAAAAGCAGAGCTGTAGGATAGAGCCTGAGCCTACACCATGCTGAGTTCCTGGGGTGCAAGGCTGAGGGCTTTCAAGTCCCTCAGCTTCATCAGCCGGCAAGATAGGGCTGTGAGCCCTCTGGAGAGCAGGATTTAAATGGCAAGGGAGCAGGACACAGCAGACCTCCACCACTTCCCAGTAGACAGTCACCTCCAGGACAGATAACACTGAACGACAGAACAGATGTCAGCACCAGGCGAAGGAGTGCCGTATCTGTGTTCGCATGCTGTCACTGTGCAGGCTTGAAGAACCGCACGTTCCCCAGGCAATTCCTATTACACCCTGAGTTAAAAGGGACCCTCCCTAAGCTCATCTCCAGCAGCAACTAATCTCCTTCTCGACACAATGAGAATTTAAACACAAAGGGCTTCACTGCCTGAAAGTAAACAATATTCTTGTAGCCACTTGACCTTTGGGGTGCTTTTGTGAGCAGCACCCTTGCTTTTCTGCCTGGCTCTGTCCCCGTGGCCGGACCGCAGGCATCGCAGGCCCCCTTCCCTCCACGATCCTGCTGCCTCTGCTTCCTTCGCTTTGCTGTTTGTGTTCCCTCTTGACCCGAGCTGGGTAAACAGAAACACCCCGGCCTGGCTGCAGTTTCCTGCAAACTTCCACTGACCTGGAGCACTCGATGAGCGGGCTGAGACCAGAGGGAAGGGGCCTTGCCCTCCCTCGGAGCTGGTGCTTCAGCTGATAAGTCTCTGATGTGCTCCAGCTCTTGTCTTTCCTCACATGTAATGAGCTTTGCAGCCTGCGGTAAATTATTCTTTTTAATTAGCCTATGGGAATTGATAGATGTTTATGGGTAAGATTCAGAGGGCAGTTTACCTCCCAAACTCAAGGGGAACAGATGTGCCAAGCTACAAGGAAATACCCTGTTTTCACAGAGTGTTTCTTTGCTGCGATGTTTTTCCCCTGGAGTTCAGTGCTTGCAGTTTCCAAGTCTTGTACTGCAGGATGACACCTGCATTTCCCATGCCACAGCTCTCCGAACTGCAGCAGTTGAGTGCAATTGATTTACACCATCTGGAAGCAGAGATCTTCCTAGAGGCTAAGGTTATCATTTTTAAAGAAAAGGGACCCTGTCCCTTTTGTTTCAAGAAGTTCTATGTCCGAGAGACTTTTTAACAAGGAGATAACTGATTGCTGATTAACTGAAGGTGGTGAACATGTTTGTAAAGCTGGCAGTGACAGTCCAGATGTTCCGGCAGATCATTTTTCCATGCCACAGTCAGTCTGAACTACTTGAGAGTTTCATGAAGGATGCAGTTTTTTGTCAGCACAAACCATGACAAAGCTATCAGCTGGCAGTTGATTAGTCCCCCATTCAGTATTTATTCTTTGTCATTTCATTAAGAACCAAAGCTGAGCCACTTTAGATTTACTTTTCTGTTAAGTGAAGGCTCCAGCCGCCTGGAAGTGCTTTTCCTTGGAGCATCTCCTTCCCAATGGCAGCGGGATCGGCTTGGTCCTGCTCACATCCTCTCCTCTCCCAACCCAGTCTTTATAATCCATGAACTGTTGTTCACTGTACAGTGATTTTAAAGCACTGTCTGGATTTCAAATGTCGATGGGAGAAGGCTAGATGTATATATTTCGGCATTCAATTCAGATGGTAGCTTATGATCTGGGACAGCATCATTCTATCTACTGGCCAGACATATGGCAGTTCAGGTTCAGGCTGCTACTAAAAATCAATTAGGAATGAAATACAGCTTCTGTTGTACAGACTGTAAATTCATGGTTCCCATTTAGGTGTTCTTCAGTAGTTTAGTGCCACCACGATAGCTAGCTCTCCTATTTACAGCTGAAAAGAGTAGATCATTTTCAGGACTGTTGTAAATCTGAAAATTTGGTAGAGGTCAATCTTGGAGATGAGAGGAGTAAAATGGGGTTAATTTTTTTTTTCCCCAAACAGGAAATATTTTTGAGAAATTTTATTCTGTTTTGACTAAGATATTTCAATCATTGCATAATTCAGTATTTTCTGATATTTTATGATTATTTAACTTTCCTTTAGCTACCTTCTTTCGATTTATGTTACTTTGTAAACAAACAGTGCTATTCTGAAATTCCCTCTAAAAATACTGGCACAAATATTTTTGAATTCAGTGTTCCCATCTTTTCAGTCAAAACAATCACTTAAAATTTGATCCAGATTTGAGAACAGCTTGGTATCAAGAAGCTCCTTTTCTCAGAGCAAGTTTCCTCTTGTCCTGTCCCTGTCTCGTGCCACATCAGTTGTTCTCTCTTTTTCTCCACAGAACTAGAAATAGATCTGAACACACTTCCCCAGACACTTTGTTGCACTCCCAGTGTTTGTTGGAAATACACCAAAAATCTACTTTCTCTACTTTTCCTATACCAATTAATCCAAGGATCTTCTTTTAATAATCCAGGGTCATCTTTCAAGTAGAAAGGCCTTCTGCCATTTGCACAAGCTTTAAAATTGACTATAGAAACATCATTTGATAGCTCCATACAGGGTTTAGTTGGAGAGTGAGCCTGCAGAGGCATTAAGCAGCAGTAATGCCGAGGGACAAACACTAAACACATTTTTGTAATGTGACTCAATAGAAGAATTTAGCAGACCTGTTTGGGAAAGTGCGTAAGACACTGGATGGGGTATAAATACTTCCTATTAGTTTTAGGGATTGGAATAAGCTACAAAGCTGTGGTAAAGCAGAGCTCAGGTTTCTCAGCTCAGGGCTTGATTGGAACCAGTGACTGCCTAACCAGAAAGCTCAAATGTGTATCTGAAACTTCCCAAATGTGAGGAGATTACAGGTTTAAATTTTTAATTCTGTTTTTCTGCAATGCCCTTACTCCAAAATACACACTTTTTTATAGATCAACCCAGTCAGAGTAAATCAATAGCATGGAATAAAAGCTGACATGAAAAGACATTGCTTGAAATGATGGACATCATTCAGATATCTGGTTTTTATCTGCTGTTTTAGTGTTCATGTTCAGTGCTACTGATCAGCTCCATGTCCCAGCTCCTCACGTTAATCACACCCCTCTGGTACTTGCATGGTCACCCAAGTGCCTTTTGTAAAACATCACCACAACGTGTGTGACCTTTCTGATACACACAGGGAGCTCCAACCAACATTTGCTGTCCTCGCGATGCAGTACGTGGTACATTTTGTCTGCTAGGAGCCCTATTTCCAGTTCTCAGAGCTAAAGTCAAGCTATCAGATACAAAACAGTCCCACTCTCCTGCCTCAATCCCTGCCTTTCACCCTTCATGTTTTTGTGAGTGAAACTGTTCTGGTTGTGGAGTGAAGTAACTCCAGCCTTGCACTGAGCTAACTCTTTGAAGATTAATTCCAAGTGACAGCACTGAAGTATTTCTGTGACATTCCTCAAGCGAAGGCTCTTGTCATTAGCCAAGAAATGAACATTGATATCCCCAGATGAACGACCCGTTCCCAGACGAGTTACCAGACGAGTTACCAGTCATGAGGAAATAAAGACAAAGGAAGCGAGATAAACCAACTCCGTGTTTCCCTTTGTCAGTGGAGCTGTGGAGAAGCAAATCCAAACCTCACCTCCGTGTTCAAATTGTTCCGTTAAGCACAGTTACATCACTTACATGTACAACACTTGGTACCCAGAAAAATTCAACATAAATTAGCACTTCACCTACTGTTTAATTCCAGGTCCTGCTGCATGGGATACACAGCTCCCTGCTAGGGACCAAAGGGTGAACATTTGTTTTAAATGGAAAAATGGATCCTCACTGATTTGAAGCAAAAGCCTGTTTGCCAGGGATGGAGCACTGGGAAAGGAGAAATTCTGGAGGGTTTCACAATTTTAGACTTTTTGTTGAGAGTAGCCAAAATGGCCAACACCCAGAAAGTGATACTTTGCATTTTTAAAACTCCACATAGGGGTTATTTTGCCATCTTTAATGGAGATTTTAGAATATTCTCAGATTAGTGAGATTTTTATTTATTTCTATTGTATATGCATATCCAGTATGATTTTGTGTGGCAGATCTATAGAAAATTGTGTGACCAAGTTCCTTTGCTGTTAGGTTAAACAGATTATTCTTGCTGAGCTTTGAATATCATGGGTCTCCATTCCCTTTTTTCATGCTTTCTGCAGTATTCTGGAGATGGCCATTCACAGAAAGAAGCTTCTTTCAGTAGATTCACCTTAACTGCTGTAAACTTATTGTAACACTTAACTGCTGTGGAATTAGGGAGTGTGGCAAAATATGAAAGAAATGAAAGAAATTATTAACTAATTAACATTAATAATTAACTTATGAAAGAAATTGAGAGCACTGGGGAAAGAACTAACCCAAGTGCCACACATCTGTGGAGCTGATGTATTAACTTCATTTTAACAGATGGGGAAGGGATAGGAAAAGGAGTTTCTACAAGATTACTCTGCAAACTGGTAAAATCGGGTTAGAAATGGAGTATTCCTATTCGTGGCCATTAGGTACAATCCCTAGATGAGCCTGGCATTTGCAAACAAGCAAGGTGACTGGTGACAGACTGGAGTGGGCTTTCTGTGGGCAATGAGCCTCTCAGGTCATTGATCAGAAAGGAGCAGTTTCCAAATCAATGTTCTTTTCCCTGCAGACTACAGAAATCCATTTGTGAAGATTAACCCAGAGCATCCCGACATAATCTACATTTTAGATACTAAGAAAACGTTTATTGTCCCGTGCCGAGTTACCTCACCAGATATCAAGCCTAAGCTTACCCAGGTAAGTGGCTGAGTCAGACAAATCCAATCGATTCAGAGGTCTGGGCTGCCAAGACAGTGGGTAAAAATAGCAGTCCTACTCTTGCAGTGTATTACTATTGAACTGTGTACAAGGGTGCTTTGGGGATTAGGCTGAGTTTATCACATATTTTTCTCATCTTGTGGCTCACCGTTCCTCCATAAATTGGCAAAGATAGATGACAAGACACTATTTTTCTTCCAAATTCTTTGTATAACACCTGGCTTTTAGCTGTTGTCTTGAAAGGTTCTCTATTTTATACCTTGAACCTCCTCAGAACAGTTGCCCATTTCTGCTTGATTTCATAAATTTAAAGCAAGTTCCAGCCTCAAAAATAAATGGCTACAGATTCCACCCCTTTGGCAGCAGTTACATCTGAATGTCAAGGTTACAGAATGGTCTGTGGAGGCCAAGGCCACGTTGTACAATGGAAACGGCAATTTAAGGTCTGGGGCTTCCTCAGTCGATGGAGATCTGGTTACTCATTTAAAGGGCTTTAGAATTGCTCTATAGAGAAGCCCGTCACAGGGCGAGGAACAGAACATAGGTCTCCTGGCTCCAAACCTGCCCTTACCTAATAGGTTATGAGCCTTTCCATTCTCCTGCCACCCTGACTGGTTTTGAGCTGAGCTACTGGGAGCAAGAGCTCATCCTCTGCCTCTTTCACATAGCCTGCTCTGGAGAGAGATGAGGTTGTTCTGGGCATGGTGTGACAGAGGAGCACATGCAGATGCCACGGTGGTGCCATGTTGATGTTGTGGAGGCAGAGGTGTCTGAGGACCTCTGCTTCTCTTAGCAGTGAGATGGTGTAGTTGTTGGATGTCTTCTTCTCCTGGGAGACAGCACGTGAGATCACAGAGGTCTGAGACAGTGCTCGGCTCCTGCTGAGACCCATGGCAAATTTCCAGCAGACGTGCAGAGGGACAGCACCGGCCTTATTGCTTTAGCAGATCTCTATTTTTGAATTTCGTCAGTAGGGATTAAAAGGTGGAGGGGGGATAAAACTTTTCTCCAGTTACAGCTTATCACTTTAGCCTGAATAAGCGTTAACACCTTCTCCTTGGCTATAAAAATGAAACATCCCCATCTTATTTTAGCCTGTTTCTACCAAATTCATTGCTGGAGTCCTGCTGCTGAATTCAGCACAGTCACAGGAGCCTAAACGTGGCCTTGGAACTCCGACCAAGCAGACCACCACATTTATCCTCTGATTTATAGTCATCCCTGCTCTCCCCGCTAAATCATCTCCTGGTAATTTCTTCAAACACAAACTGAAGTCCTTTACCTTGCCGCAAGCTGCTGCTGAAATGAAATCTCCACTGAAATCGCCCTTTTGAATTGCAAAGAAACTTGTCCCCAAAAGATTTATTCCCCTTCAAGGGAGAGCAGCTGGGCCGCAGGGCAGGGATGTAGATGCTGAGTGCTGCTTCCCAAAGAAACCCCGTGAGCTACTCAAGGAGACGTGAGCTGGCTTCGGGAGCCACCAGGCCCGGGCTCCAGCGATGGGAAGTCACCGCTTGTTTTGCCCTGTCTGGGAATTCATTGCGTCGTGCGGAGCCAAGGTGGCGGCTTCCCGTGCGGAGAGGAAGCGGGGCGGGAGAGGGGTGGAGGTAAGGATGGGGGAGGAGAGGTGAAGGAGGCCATCAGACAAATTTAGAACATCCTCTTCTTCCAAATTTAATCTCCGATAGACAACGAACTTCAAAGGGAGGAAAGCCACTGTGATTTCCTTCAAGCAGCATTGACGCTTTTTGTTTGATTGTTTAAATAGATGGTTTTGAATATTTTATGGAGACGTTTAATATGTGTGTAGTGTTGAAAAGGGCCTCCTGAGTAGGGTTATTTTTTCTTTCCTCTTCCCCTAGCTGTCAGGTAGCAGAGCTGCCAAACCATGAAGTTGAGCTTTATCACATTTTATTATTCTTGTAGAAAATGTACTTTTTTCCACCATAAATTAAGTTCCTTATGTTACCATTATACTTTAAAATCATTGTGCTCTCTGGCCTTTAAATATGTATGGAGAAGGGTACCTCTGGCTAATACTAAACAGATCTCTAACTCTACTTATCATCTTTGTTATTAATAAACCCATGCTAAGACACACAATTAAAACTTTTAATTTGCTTAATATGATTTTAATTCTAGGCCAAAAAAAAGCCTTTTCAGTCTTGTCAGATCTGTTTAGCCGCTGATCTGATTCAGTGTGCATTTGTCACTTACAGCTTTGACCTTCATGGGTGTTAAAGCATGATTAAGCCTCAGTCCCAGACCTCTTTCTGTAATTTTCCTGAATTTTCCTAATGGTTATGAACAGAGATGCCACAGCTTGATTACTTCCAAAGTATTTACCTGAAAGCCATGTTTCCTGTCAGAAGAGAACCAAGAGCTTTTCCAAAAGAAAGCAATGGTCTTGCTGTGCCTCCTTTCCCACAGCAACATCACCAGTCACTGCCCCACAGTCCCAATTCCTCTGTCTTTGCTGAATATGCAATATATAATATTGGATATGTAATACGACCTAAACCAATGCCAACCTGATCAACTGTGTATTCATATGAGAGGTACGAGCATCAGCTCTCAAAGCCTGGAGTTGAAATGTCTTCAGAGCAGGAGCACCATTGAAACTGAACCCTATTTAAACCACACTGCCATACAAGACCATTGTTTGTGTGGAGACAGAAAAATAAATTGCATACTGCATAGCAACAAAATAAGAGCAAAACTATCACGTCATTGGGGAAATTCCTACTTGCAGTCCTCAGTGCAGCTCTCCCCTTGGTCAGCTCCGAAAGCTAAAACAAGATAGCTCAGAAAAGGGAAACATGAACTTGCCTCACCTTTCAGATGCCAGTAAATGATAAGGAAGGAGAAGTGCTGTGCAAATAAAGTTCGTTATTGTGTGGCACACCGAGGTTTCCCCAAACCATTTTTCAGCCAGAAGTGATCCCAACCCTCCTGCAGCACATCCTCAGTCCTAAAGAACCTCCCTGTGTGCTGCTGGAAAAGGCAGTGCCTCCCGTCACCTGCCTGCAGACGGGCTGGGATGGGGGAATTTCACTCATCTGCTCTTTACAGAGTCCTGAGTTATTTGTCTGCATCTAATTTCACATATTTCTTTCCTACATTTTAAACCAGGATTTTCAAAATGACCAGAAGGTAAATTGCATTTTCTCTAGCAAATAGACAACCTCTCTATGTGTTAATAATGATGACAAACTAATTATCCCCACCAATAAAAGCCAACCTGCTTGACACTGCTGCCACTCCAGGGTATACAGAGGGTTCATTGTTATTAAATGAATTTTTGCTCTAGTTTATTTTCCACATTTGCCTTTTGTATCCTCACTTCTTCCTCATCAGCAGAACTTGCAGTTACTGGGTTTTTTTCAAGAATCTCAGAACATTACAAGTATTTATGAATTTAGGACAAAAATTGTCTGTGTTAGTAAGTCACCTTATTCTTGCCATCCTATGATTTATCATCTTAAGTCACCCAGGCTGCTTCAGTGTCTGATGGAAATCAGTAGGCTGCTTTGAAAGTGCCTCATCCCTTTCTGTGATACAGAGAGAATTCAATAACTACCCACAGATCATAGCTTATAGGTAACTGCCAGCAGGTGAGCTAGTGACATGAAGGATTCTGATTTTTTGAGGTCCAACTTCACACATATTTTTAGAGTACTGTGAGATCCCAGGAAAACATGTGGTAGCTACATGTGGCATTAGGAGAAGCAAATTTTCTTCTTAAGCACTTCCAAAAAGATTACCCTACAAAATTCATATAAGACAGGCATAAGTATTTCCAGTAAAGAGATGAGGGAAAGGGGACCTGCAATGTGTAGCACAGTATCCTGCTTAGGAACTGAGAGGACTGAGGCTACTAAATCAAAAGCCCCAGTTATGATGTCCAAGTTTTGGGTTTCAAAGACAGTCATACCTCAGGGAGGGTTTTCCATTTGCGTATGTTGATGTTGCTTAAGATATGTGGGGAATGAGACCACCAACCACACGGAAAAGTCAAACATCCACCCTGCCTCTACAGCAGAGCAGCACTGGCTGGTTGCCTCCTGGAATGTCTCACAAGTTTCTCATCTCTCTCTTCTCTTTCAGTATCCTTCTTCTGCAGAGGTGAGCTTCAGGAGGATGGTGTGGGACCCAAGGAGAGGATTTGTCATCCCCTCTTTCTCTTTCATTTACTCTGGAGTCCTCACGTGCACGGCAAACGTCAATGGAAGCGTCTTCACTTCCTATTACCTGGCACAGAGACTGGGTGAGTGCCTGCGGCGGCCAAGGAATGACCACAATGTTTCTGCTTCAGAGTTAAGCTCCTGGGTATTATTTCTTGGTTAGCCTCAATTATATTGGATATATCCCATTGGTATGTGTCTGTAGCAAGTCCAAGCTGAAACACTAAAAGCAAACTCATTCTTCTCCTTGTTTCCTATTCAATAGAGCTGGGATTTGATCTGCTCCTGGTTTTGAAAAATTACCAAGTGTTGAGGTGGGAGAAATAGGATTATTTTATTTAAACCCCACCAAGGCTTTGTTTGCTTGGGCTGAGCTATATTTACACTAAAACAACTGCTGTTTTCGGAGAAACCAAACAGTAACTTTCTTTTTGCTTCTGGTCATTAAACACACAAGATCATGGTACAACTCATTAAGCTGCTAATTCAAATCTTTGCTTTTTTATATAGCTTCTCTTAGCGATTTACTACACCCTTTCCCTTGTATTTACACTTGAGCTTCAGTTCAGAATTAAAATCTGAATTTGAAGCAACTAAACATTAAATTTTTGAGTGCTGGGGGTTTATATGAAGACAATTAGAATTTCTTCTTCCTCTCTTTTCAGGGCATGTTCTTTCTCTCATATATTATATTTTTGACAGAGGAGAGGTTATTGTGACTTCATTCCCATTAGATCATGGCATCCTCCTATACAATTAGCACTCGCCTTGGCACAACAGGCTTGTAAATTTGTACGGCAGCCAAATAAAAGTCCTGTAAATCTCTTTTTCTTCATTGTTTGAGTAATTATTTTTCACTAGAATCATGAATACAAGGCTAAAAACCCCATTAGATCATCCTTCGTAGCCCAAAAGGACACAGGCGATACCTCACTCTGTAATGTGTACAGTGGTTAGATGTGTGGTTGGTATGGCAGAAGAAGGTGAAGTATTTTGGAAACTGTGAAAGGAGCAGATGTTGGAGAGGTAATCAGAGTGTGGATTCCATCTTAAATGTCACTGATGTGGAGTGCTGTGTGGTTACGCTTCTGCTTTTTTTGTTTCAGAGGACAGAGCACAGAACCTGGCTCTGAAAGCAACTCCCAAAAAGCTGCTGGTCGGAGAAACTCTGTATCTGGAATGCAGAGCAGAAACCTTTTACAACGGGCGCATCGAGCTCATCTGGACGTGTCCTAATGGGAGAGTGAGTTCACCAAAACGCTGTATTCTGCTTCCATCCAAAAGGAAGATCTGTTGACAGGGCTGAGCAAACCCGAACTACTATTTACTGGGAAATACAGCCAACCACTTGTAAACCTACAATTGATTGTATCTTTAGTTTGGATGAATCTAAAACTTACCTGGCCACCTGGGACCTGCAGATTAAACTGCAGATCTCAGGGTAGATGGATGCTTGCAAGGAAAGCCAGGAGTTTCTTGTTGGGAAGAAGAGCTGTCTCATCTTGGCCACATCTCTGGGATCAAAAATCCTATCAGAAGTGATAACGCTTTCTAAAGTTCTACGGGAATTTGCCTTGGCACCTGGCTGTCATAATATACTACATTTCTGTCATAATACATTATATTTCTGTCATAATATATTATATTTCTGTCATAATATATTTCCTTTAGAAAGTAAAGAGTTTTTTGAGGCAGAAAAATACTGTGACCAAAAAACCAACACCCCCCCCCACACACAAAACAAACAAACAAAAAACCCCAAACATCAAAAAAACCAAAGCACAACTGTGACCCTACAGATGTCAATGGCAGTTTTGCACAGGGATTTCAGTGATGGGGAGATATGATATTTTTTTATATTAATCACTGCTTTTCTTTACTGGCAGACTTTGAAAGGATGAACAAAATGATCCAGTTTATGGTTTTTTTGACCCCCTTTTTTCTGCCTTCCAGCACCCTCATCCTAAGAGAACAATGAAGCAGAGTGACTCAGTGAATAAGGTTGGGAGTAGCCTGACCATTGAGAATGTCACCATGCAAGACGGAGGCCTGTACGTATGCAAAACATTCAATGTAACGAGGCTGGAGGCCAACGTCACCGTGACAGTGTATGGTACGTTCTGCAGCTAAACTGGGACACCCAAGAACCAGGGGGATTACGCGTAAAGGATAATGCCACGTTATTAAATGTGTTGATATACAAGTGGCATTACAAAGAATGCTAACTAATTAAAACAACCATTAATCAGGTATAATCTCTAATCAATCTATGAGAGAGGCAGCAGACAGCACTTTGTTTTCAAAGAGACACTCCCTTTGGTCACTCCAGTGAGTGCTGTACTGTGGCGGATCTGCCAATCCTTGTCCTCCTGTTCATTTCTCTTTCCAGACAAACCTTTCCTCACGGTTTCACATAAGAAAGGGCCTTACTATGAAACTACATCAGGACACAAGTCATTGAAATTAGCTGCAAAGGTGGATGCCTTCCCTCGCCCAAGCGTCACCTGGTGAGTACCATCACGCCGAGCAAAATCAGGAATATGCAACCTTCTTCAGTCCAGCTAAGGAGATGTGGCTCCTTTCTGTGCTGACATATGCTGTGAAGCTGGGCAAGCCATCCCTTTCCCATGCTATTTTTCTCTCCTAGTCATGCAGAAAAGGTCCCTACAGGAAAAATGGGGGTGTCATTTACCTCGGACACAGAACTGTTTGGAAGATTGAAGTAGAAATAGGTTGCAACCCCATTAGCAGTGGTCAGTCTGCAAGGAGGCAGAGCATAACAGAAAGCTACAGGACACATTCTCAACATGAAGAATTGTTTCTCTTTATATCTTTTAAGTCATCTTCTCCAATGCTTTACTGCCAGCAATGTCAGATCCTTGCAGACAATGCAGTGAATCTTCCTGAGCAAACTAACAGCTCCACTGGGACTACAATGGATCAGCTTAACAGGAGGGGCAACACGGCAGCAGCTCCAGGACACATCCATTTCTTCCTTTACCCTTTCATCCCTTGTCCTCTCTCTTGCTACTTTTTCTATGCTTCGTTCTCCAGGGGGCCTTTAAACACCCCATCCAAAACCTCCTACATCCTTACTGTACGAAATCCCATACACCAGCTGGCATGGGTTTGCCTTTGCTGGCAGAGAAGGTGGCATGGCTTAGGGGGGCCTGGCAGTAAGCTGAAGGTATTGGTCAGTGGTGGGTTTGCGGCATTCTTTTTTAGTGGTCAAATAACGTGAAATTCTCTAATATGCAGTCAAATCAGGCAAATCAGTGCTACCAGGGGATATTTTTAATTGTTGCTGTTATTTAGGAGACAGGAATGTTTTTGTGAGTTGAAGTGGGGACTGTTCCCCTTTCCTCTGCCAAGGCTTTGTTGTCGGGGCTCAGCATGGAGCTGCCTGGGACCACCAGGGCTGCCTCCCCTGTGTGTCCGAACCTCCGGCTGTTGATGTTGGAGGTCTCTCAGTGCAGTTGTTTAAACGCCTGCAAAGGAGCTTTCCAGCATTCTCAGGCAGTAGGACACGTGCCCCAGCCTCTCCTTCCACCAAGCCTATGGCTCTGTGTGTGGCAAAGTCTGGCCTATTTTGTATTTATAACCCTAATCTGCATGTTGAATTAGCAGAGAAGAGGAGCTGCTCATGCAGACTCTGCTGTCCATTCCTTAGCTAGTGAAGATTCAAGATTGTGGATTCGTCACTGACCTTCCTATTGACATAAGTTCTCCAGGTCACAGACTTCAGCTTTTTCAGAAACAGTAAAGGGTCATATATACATATTGAAAGACAATTCTACTTAATTAATAGCTTGTTTTAAAACTGATTACATAAATTTTGGCTGACCCATGATTTCCCACACTTAGTATTGCACATCCAGCACAGTTTGGGGACATCTAGATGTACATTTCTTATCAGAGTTGAGCATGCAAGAGGCACTGTTCATTCAGATCCATTAAAATATCTCTCTTCTGTTTGTTGGATGAAGCCGTCCCAGGCATTGCTCAGTTTTAGTGTGGAAGGATAAAAGGAATAGATGTCCAATTCAAGCAGTGATTATAGATCTGTATTACCCTTGCTATTTCCAAAAGATGACTCTTTACCCACCCTGATTTGGGGACCAGTGAGGTTTTCTGAGGGCTGACGTCCATGCATGCACATGGTGAGCTTTGATGAGACTTTCCGAACAGGTACAAAGATGGCAAACTGATCAAGGACAACCACACTTGCTACGAGCTGGATCCTATCAAGTACAGGCTGGGTATAAGAGATGTGAGACCAAAGCATGCTGGAAACTACACCATCGTCTTGAGCAACGCAAAACACAGCCTGTATAAGAACCTCACGATGCAGCTGGTAGTGCGAGGTAAGGACTTCATGTTCGTAATGGTTCTGTCCCATTTTTTGTGTGATCTTACTTTACCAGTTAGCAGGAATATGTTTACCCAATATGAGCTGATACGGCACTGTGCACAGATCACCACCTTAGTGAGGAACCACTGAAGATCCACCACATATTAAATAGAAGCAACAGAACGGAGAGCTAGAGTGAAGAGTTGGTCTGAAACCAGGTCATCTAAAGTCACTTTCCACTGAGATATTGCATCTCAGAAAAAGTCTGCAGTGTCTCCGCAGAGAGAAACAGAAATGGCTTGAAAGTGAAAAATCTTAACAGGACTTAATTTAAATATGAACAGGAGTTTGGGAGGATATCAAGTAGTGAGGTCTTGGAGCTCGGGGCACAGTTCACCAGGAGAAGTGATGGAAGTTTTATCCATTGAGATTAGAAGCTAGCTTGGGCAAAGCACTGGAGAACATCCTGCTGGGACAGGAAAAGTCCCCATAGGCTGATGGAAGGAACCAGAAAACTGCCCTGTCTTTCATGTCTCTCCATCATCCTGCTGCAGAAACACTTTCTAAGACTGTATTTTGTGTGTTGTCATTTATCTGCTGGGAGCACTTGAGAGACAGGTTCATTTTCAGAGGAATCTGGAGAAAACTAAGTAAAGAGTGGTGTGCACTGAAGCAGCTTCACTTGCAATTGAGGGAAAATAGAGATTGGAATCCCATTTATTCATCTCCTTTGCTGGGATAATGGAAGACAGAGCCACATTGTCTCTTTGCAGATCTCACCACCTCTTTTAATCCATTGAATTTGGCAACAGAGATCGAATCATGAGGCCAAGAAGGAGTTAAGCAGAAGTCAGCTCTGCTTCCCTTTGTATTTCCTGAGGTTCATTCAGGCAGTGAGATCAATAAGGTTATTGAGATAGGTTTGCTTTCTTTTCTGTGGTGAATTATTTTCTCCTTATCCTCTTTACACCTACAAATATTCTCAGTTGTTCTCTTTTGTATACCTATGTACTGCTGCACAATGGAATTTCCAGCATTTGTGTTTTTCTCATTTCACCTTTCAGAAAGGAATAATGCCTAACAAATGGAGAACTTGTCACTTAGGCACATTTAGCCTATTCAAAATGCTAAATAAGATAAGGTAGCTTAAACCACCTTAAACATTACATAAAGTAATGTGGGATTTAGGAGTGAAGAGAGCTAAGAACATATTTAGGTTCAGGTCCTGCAGCCCAGCTGATGAGGAGGTACGTGTGAAGCTGCGGTGATTTGTTCACTTGAGGTTGTTTATCCATACAATGACTTTGCCATCTTGTTAAGAGAACGGAAACATTCAAAGGAAGAGAAAATTAAGAATGATAATAAACTATCTTGTCAAGGTAAATACTGGTGTTTGCGTGCAAAAGAGAATGTTTACTGAAAGAGCAGCCATTCCTCAAATAGGCAAATAAAAAACAAACAGACCTTGTTCATATCAGCAAGATGCTATTTCAGGATTAAACCATCCCATGCTCTTAGCTACAGTACAAGCCTTTCATCTTTACTGTCTGTACAAGTATGTGCATGCCTAGCACGGTGCTCATGGTTAGCCTTTCTGAGAGATCAGCCCAACAAAGGCTTTGATCAGTAACAGTTATTTGATTGCAAAAACACCATTTCTTAAGAGTCTGCAGAGTCCAGCAGCTGCAGAAATGTCACTGACTGGAGAAGGTGCACAGGAAAATGAACAGCAAGTGCTTCTGTTCTGGTAAAAGAAAGTCATCCCTGAAATGAGAGCAAGCAAAGGAAAATACCTGCCAAAGAGTGCCGTTGTTTTTAAGCTAAAGGTATATGATATTTGCCTTGATTGTAGACACGACTGACACAACACCTAGGAAATATCTCTTGCTTTGCCAGGCTCTTCTCTGCAGCACCAACTTGGCATCTGCAGGTGAGCACTCAGCCCAAGTAAAGGGACATTTTTCTGAGATGCATGTGGGTAGAGACCAAAAAAAGTAAATTTTTGCTGTTGAAGCTTATCCAACAGCAGCAAAGTGCCTTTCTTCTTGTGTTTTCAGTTAAAGGGACAGATTTTCAGATCTGGGCATCATTTGCTTTACTTCCAAAAACATTCTGATGCAACAAACTGAACGCAGATTTGAATTTCCCCTTTAACCCTTCAACAAATAATCTGACACTTTATGTCCAGTCATCATGACTGATATCCTGGTATCACACCAGATAGATTCACTTGCTTGGAGTTTCAGCAGACCCTTAAGACATGCAGAAGGAGACCAAGCCACACTTTCTACCCATTTTATGCAGGGATTACCTTGCCCACCACTAAAACACAAGCACTCAGAGCTGGGAGAGCTGATTAAGGTCTCTGCATAGCACGATAGGCAATCTGCAATTACTGAACCTGGAATTTGAACATAGGGATTAGCAGACTTGATGGGAAAAATTCTTTAAGGCTCTCAAGTGAATGCAGTGGTAGGAGCATCAGTTTTGCATCATGTCTGAAAGGTGGAGCCTGCAGCGATTCAGCACCCGCTAAGCCCCATGCTGTGTTCATACCATGGACCAGCTCCCTCTGACTGAGAAGTAACATTTCTTTCTGAATAACAGCATTACTCCCCAAATGACAGGGCCAGTCTTTTAAATTTCAGAGCTGCATCTGCGAAAGTGAGTTCTGAGCTATACTATTAAAGAGAAGATGGGAAATTATTTGAATAGAATTTTAAATGAGAAGATAAATGTCATTTGAATGATTTCGTTTGCTGCAAGTGGACACTGCATCGAGGAAATGATAAGTGAGCATACAGCCCCCTCTCCTGTGAGTCTCCTCAAAATAATAGATTGGTAATGTTCTTGAGCATCCCAGACCGTATAACTGGCAGTCAGCGTGCTGTGACAAACCCGTCGCTGGGAATTTGAACTAGATGGAGAGGAAGTTTAAAGCTAACAGTGTTGTGAATTGTTGTCCACAAAGTATAAAGAGCAGCAGAACTCCTTCATCAAATCACACTATGTTAATTTTTTTGCAGTATATTTTATTCAGTAATAATGGCAGCAGAAGAGAACCCTTTAAGCAGGATGAGAAAAAGATAAGAAGTCACCTGCTTGAGCCCTGCGGGACAGGACCTTTATGCAGTGAGTGTCCTGACCCGTATGAAGACCACCACTACTTCAGGCTTGCCTTGGCGTCACCTCCCATGTGTTTCACTGATAGCAATCCCAGTAGCTCTGACAGGAAGCCTACACTGTGTGTGCAAGGTGTTTCACTCCATGGCAACCAGCAAAATATTAGGAGCTCTTTCCCCCTCAAAGTTTGATATGGCCATAAAAGTGATGATCTGCAGAGAGCGGAGGTATCCATCGCCTTAGCTCCTCAGAGGCAAGAGGGAGCAAAATGGGCAAATAACTCCCAGAGCTACAGGGTGGGAGCTGACAGCAATGCTGGCCTGAGGAGAGGGCTTGGTTGACAATATGGAGACCTGCGAGTGCTGCCTGGCCTGGAGGACAATCATGCTGCTGTGCCAAAAATGTCTCTTTAAGAAATGGCTTAGCTGTGCCTCTGGTCACCCGTGCAGTGGAATTTAATCTTGCAGGAGCACATATCTCCCTTGTGGAGTCGCCTTGGCTCATTGCAGGACTCGAGCCCCCAGGAGGTAGCTGATTGCATTTTAAAAACACTCCTTTACATATTTACACATCAAACACTGTCCAAGAAGCGGCGGGTTGCTGTGTTTTTGTTTTGTTTGATTAAATTCTTATTGAGAAAAGCTTCAAGAAAATAATGTCCTGAAGAATTTGGAGGGGAGGGAGCAAGGAGAAGGAACAATCCTAGCAAACAGCTGGTGGCTGCACATCTGAGCCAGCCAAGGAGAAACGTGGGAGAAAAGTTATTCCGGGCTGGAGTACAAAGCTGTTTCAGAACAAAACATAAACAGAAAAACTCAAATCTATTTATGGGCAAGCAGGCTGTGTTTCATTCTCACCCTTGCACAAGTCATCTGCATGTATCAGGGTTCTTGCTGAGCCCTTTATGGGGCAGTCAGCATGCTCTGACCACCATGTTGTGAGTGAAGATTGTATTGAAGCAGAAGTTAATTCAAAAAATGGGATTAATAACCTCCTTCACCACTTTGCCCTTCTTCTTTGTCCCAAAGTTTCTCTCCTGTGCTCCCTCAAGGCTCTTTCAGCAAATATTGCTTTGGGTTCCAGCTGCTCGAGTCAATTGAAATTACGTTCCCTGGTAGAGTCCTTGATCCCCCAAGCTCTCATGTTGTATCTCTACGAAATGTAGGATTAAGTGCTAGAAAAAGCCTCTGCCATAAGCAGTGGTAATTCACAGGCTCCTTATGAACTCCCTGTCTCCTGGGCAAGGACTGGGATAAAAGGGGTGCACGGAGACTTCTTGGCTGCCTTGCCATGTGCTCTGTGTTATGTCAGCGAGGTGACTGGCTGTACCTCGATGCGTTATTGGGGTGAATTAGCTCCAGAGCACTTCTAATGCGTGTAGTCAAGCCAGCTCTTTATATTTGGTTTAAAATCAAAGGCGAAGGGAGTTCTGTGCCTGACCTACTTTGGTTTGCAAGGGATAAGTTGACATCAAAGGAGTCCCCAGTGGTCTCCATAAAAGTTCATAAATACGCAGTGATCCATGTGAACAATACCCCATCACCTCCACCAGACCCAGAAATAGTCTGAAGAGGGAAATGAGCCTTCAGGATGAGGTTAATACATTTGGGCTCTGCCAGTTCAGAGAAAAAGAGCTCTGAGAGGGGTGGATCTCATTTAAAGCCAGTTGGAGACAGAGGGGAGACCCCCAGGGTTTTTTGTGCATGGAAGGGCCCCTGATATCTCCAAGTTGGACACTGTGAGAAACGTGAATTTCTTTGGATTATTAGTACAGCCCAATTGATGTTTAGGTTAAAGGACTGAGACAGATACGAGAATCAGGGCTACATAACATGCTCTACCTTCACCTTGCCTGCATGCTTCGGTATCCTGCCAGGACTGGCTTTCTTT